CGCGCGCGCGCACACACACACACACACACACACACACACACATTTATTCTGAGAGCCAGTCTTTTTTTTTTTTTTGTTACAGGAGAGAAGACTTAAAATATAAATACTTCTGCAATTAACTGTACCCAAACTCTGAACTTATATAAAGGTGACAATGCCAAATGCCTAAGTCTTTCTTGAGGCTCAGCTGTGGCTCAGAGGAGCACAAAGGAGAATCAGGGGCCATAGAAAGAGGGAAATCCTTGGAATCTGCAGTGTATAGTTAATAACACACTTCACCATTGTCTGGGGAGCTGACTGGGGCACTAAGATCCCACAGCCCATCAACAGGAGAAGGTGGTGACACAGACCTGCTAAGATCCCCATGGTGGATCCAATTGCAGCATGCAAGCAAATCAGGGGTGAAGATATGAACAGAGCTACGAGGAAAATGCCTCCAGTCCAAGGGTTGTCACAGCCGTACACTTGACCGACTCCGACAGGGATGGCTCTCAAAAGCTGCAGGTGAGACAAGGTCACATGCTTGTTAGGAAGGCAAAAGAGACAATTCAAACTTCAAACCAGAAGATTTGATGCCAAACCCTCTACTGTGTACCTCACCACAGGTTTTGAAGACATTTCTGCTCAAGTATGTTAACTCTAGAAAGAACAAAAGCTTCTCATGTTTATTGGAGTTCTTAGTGAGATGAAGATACCAAATTTTTTTTTATCTGTAGACACCAGTGAAAAGCACTCCCTTCCAAGAGGAGAAAATGAATATATATATATATATATATATATATATATATATATATACATATATGAGTAAAAACTAAAAATGATACAGAATTTCAAAACAAGATGATAGGAAATCAACAAAGGGTGTTATATTGCATACTGTTATTTTCAAGTAGTTGTTCAGATTACCAGATATAAGCATGCAAAATCGATCAAATAATTAGGCATTAACTGTTTTTTTCAAAACCAATGGAGGGCCAGTCAAGTGGCTCAGGGGATTAAAGCTTGGATTATATTTACCCTTTCAGTTTCTTCCACTAGGGAGACAATATGAAGTCTATACATGTGAGTCTCATTTATTTCACTTATGAGTACAGTCTCTAGCTGTATCCATTTACCTTAAAATCTTTGAGTTTATCTTTCTTTATAGCTGAGTAATACTCTATTATATAAAAATATCACCCTAATCCAAAAGTGGGTACCTGAGATGAATACATACTTCTCAGATGAAGAAATACAAATGAGAAATACATATATGAAAAAATTTCAATATCATAGGTCATTTGAGAAATGTAAATTCAAACAAAACCTAATATATTTTTAACCAAAACTTTCATATAATATATAATATATAATATATATAGCAAGAAAGAGAGAGAGAGAGAGAGAGAGAGTATTAAATATTAGAGGAATGAATGGCCTCATGTATTTCCAAGAACAGCAGGTCTGGATGTGGGGATGTCTATCTTGCCAGACAAGCACTTGGACTGGGACCACAGAGGGAGGCTGGCAGAGGCGGTGTGGCCCAGCACCTGCTCTTTGGCTGATAAACCTGAAGGGCGCTGAACCTGCCTCAGTCCTCCAAAGAGCTCAGGGCTCAGGGGAGACTGTGAGTGCAGGGCATTTGAGGTGCTCAACATCTTGGAGTCAAGGGCACAGATCTGGAGAAAAGTCTTGGGTTGGGGGCTTCCACAGCCATGGGGATGAGTACTGGCTCAGGCAGTTTGTGGAAAGGTCCTTGAGCCTCTGGAAGTGCATGCTCAGGGGACATGGCTATCTCTAGACCCTGTTGACATGCACTGGGCTCAGCTCTCCTTGGGGCAAGAGCTAAAGAGAAGCAGTCTTGGGGTGAGTTGTGGACACCACACAATTTAGTGACCTAGTGGGACCCTGTCTCAAAGGTAAATATTAAAAAGGACTGGGGATGTGGCTCAGTGTGAAGGCTCTGAGTTAAGTCCCTGGTGCTTTATAAAACAAAGGGACAAGGGCCAGCTGTATAGCTCAGCAGACTAAGCTCTTGCTTAGGTAAGTGCAGGGTTCAATCCCTAGCACTGCATGTCATGTAGGCCCTGTCCCCACTGGCGTGCTGAGCAGCGATGGAGTGTGGATGTGTTGGGGCATGCCTGTAATCCCAGCACTAGGGAGGTAGAAATCAGGAGGATCACTATGAGTCCAAGCTGCATAGTGAAGCCTTGTGTGCGCACACATGCACACACACACGCGCGCGCACACACACACACACACACACACACACACATCTTAAGAAAAACAAAGGGACAAACACATGCCATTAGAAGTAATGTCTGGTATACATATTTTGTAGTAGAGGAGTACAGGTGCCTTAAAACGTGAGGGAGCCTTAGAGCATGACTGTAGTATGCTGCTGAGGCTGCGACAGTGACTTCTGAAGCCATAGAAGGCAGCATGGTGGGCACATCTTTAATGATTTGGTGTGATTGAATGAAAGAGAACACTCAGATCACGTTGCACTAAAACTGGAACAGAGCATTCAGGGAAAGTGCAAAGAATGCAGGCCAGTAGTCAGAAGCTGGACTTGCTTCTCGCTAAATCACTGTGACCTCAAGTGGGGCTCAGCCTGGCCTCACTTTCCTCCTGTGTCATAAGAGTGGGACCAGAAATAGCCTGTTTGCTTCTTACAGGGAGGCAAGGATGGGAGCTCGTGACGCATGAGGAGAGAACACCTTGGACCGTGTCACTGTTAATAATCACCACCTTTCTGATGCACAAAACAAGTAAATGCTGATTAACGTTGACTTTGCGCAGACACTGCTCTTCCTCTTCCTGTGACACTTACCAAGGGCACTTGGATCTCCGACCAGGTGACATTGGGCACAGAGGATGCAGGCCGCAGCAGCGTTGTGGGGAAGAAGAGGTTGTAGTGACCCGTGGCTGCCAGGTACAGCGTCACGGCGATGTTGAAGGGCAGCGTGAAGACTGGCAGGTCCCACTTGCTGAAGATGGTGCTCAGAGCGCTGGAGAGGACCGGGCTGGTGGTGGAGCCACAGAGACTGGTTGGCAGCAGAGCAGGCACTAGAGGGCGCAGCGCGGAGCCCCTGCGCGTTCCCTGTTGGCCTCGCCCCCTCCACTTGACTGGCAGCCTCCTCTCCGCCCAAGGCACAGGGACAGGGCGGGTACTCTCGCTCAGCATCAGGGGGAAGATTTTTTGGACACATTTTAAGACCAGGAGCTTTGGGACCCCCTGAATACTCACTGAAGTACATCCTCAGGCAAGAGGGCAGGACAGTCCGCAGACAGACCCAGAATGAGGCACTCAGTAATGAAAGTAATGCATTTTGAACAACCAGGCCCGCTAGACTCTCTTTCAGAGTGCCCTGCATTTTGGAAGCGAGGGAGGAGCCTGGCACCCTGAGGGCTGCACCCCCCCCCCCGGTCTGGCCTTCAGTCTACCCCAGAAGTTGTGACTCATATCTAACGTGTTCCCACAAAGCTTCCTGCGTTTGGAAGGTGATTGTATCAGGGGGGCCCTAAACTCATCAGGGATTAATTCATAGATGACCTGATGTTGGACAACCGGGCTCAGTTAGAAGGGGCTCCCTGGGGGGTGTGACCTAGGAGGGTGAGTCCTTTCCCCTGGCTCCTCCCTCTGCCTCTGTTTCCTGCTTACTATAGGATGAGAAGCTTCCTTCTGCCCTTCCACCAGCTGCTTCTGCGTTGGAGAAAACTGCCCAGGGACTGAATCCCCTGAGACTGGGAGACAAATTAAACTTCCTGTCCTTTAAGTTGAGTATTTTGTCTGAGCAGCGGGAAATATGGCTAGTTCTGGAGTTGTCTCTGTAAGGACAGGGGTTCCAGGCGTGGAGCAAAGGGAGGCGGTTTCCAGACACTGACACAACCCTATGGCACAGCTCTGAACCTACCGAGGCCTCAGTTTCTTTCTTTGTGTTCTGCCAGGGTGAGGCCAGAAACCCTTTTAGATCTTCAAAGAACAAAGGACCGTAGCTAATGTGACTCTATGCACAGGTATCCTAGCATAGCCTGACGTTAGCAAGCATCTCCAGTGGGTGCTTCTAATGGGTGAGCCAAACAAGTGCTACTTTAAAACCGAGTGTGGACTGGCAAGCCCAGGCCAGGATAGGAAGAACAGTGGCTCTTTGAACTGAACTCACTTCAGAAGTAAACTTACCAAGTCATGGACATGACGATGACTGGGAGCAGAAGCCACCAATAGTAGTTGCCCTTGTCTGAAAACACAGCCATCAGCAGCCCCACAAGGACCCCGTTGTAGCCATGGAGTCCTGCTGCAATGGCTGACCTGGGGAACAAGAATGGGACTGGTGGGGGAGGCTTCTCTATGGCCTTTCCAATTCTCCTTTAGAGTCAGATTTTTCTCTTTTTCTCTCTGACTACAAACCTCCAAACAGCCACCACTCTGGGAGTGTAGGGGATGGGGGGACATCAGGCCCAGGACCCTCATGTTCCTCCACCCAGGGAACAGTCACTCTTGGATTCCAGGGCCTTTGTTCTGAGGCGTTCTGAGCTGATGGAGGTGCAAAGGGGAAGAATGTTCCCCTTAGGGTGGCCCCTTAGTCTCAGTCTTTCTCCCTTGGGGACTTACTTGTCCTGGCTCAGCAAAAGTGCTGTCAAGGTGGACACGATGGTGCCCAGGCAGCCTGAGATGGCCCACCAGGGGTTCTGGATAAAGAGGCCAATGACGATGAGGATGCCACTGAGTGGGTTGTTCACGAACATCACCTGAGATATGCCCCGGAGCACCCAGTCGAGAAACTGGAACACTGGTGACTTGTCTGAAATGGAACAGGCCAGGAGGTGAGCAGCTGCACCTGTGTGGGCAACCCTGCACAGTGGGGATGGACTGAGGCTGAGGTGGAGGGAAATTTCCCTGCCAATCCCGTTGGGTTCTCAGGGAGCCCATCCTCTGCTGTTATTTGCCATGGAGAGGGTATAAAAGGAACCTGGAAGAGTACCTGATTGTCCAGAAAACTCAAGCCTTGCTACTGGCCAGGTATAGTTTCTAGGCTGTTTGTCCGGGGGTGGGTGTTGGGTACCCTGATTTGTCTATGCCTCCCACATTTTCCAGAAAACTCTTGCTGTATGGTGGATGTTGTAACAAGGATTGCTAGAGGAGAACTGTAGGCCCAGTAGGCAGTTTTCTTTTGAAACCATCCAGAGGAACATTTTCTAGAATATTGGCTCTAGAACTCCAGTACTGAAAAGCTTATCTGCAATATCTGGATGGGACAATTGGGGCAGAAGGACCCTTGTATTCAGAAACTAGAGCTTGCCATTGATATATGTGGGTTTTACATCCAAAGAGACTGCTGTAGTGGCAGAATTTCTATCTTCCCAAAAAGAGCCTAGAAGCAGAGCTCTACAGAGAACCCCTACTATAGTATGTTTCCTGGAGAAGAATGAGACATTTTCCAGGGTGGGGTCAGAGCTGCCTGCATGGAGCGGTACCTTTAAGTCCCTCCCCACATTCCTTCATCTCTCCTGTGATGTAGCTGAGGGCTTGGCTGACCCTCTTTCCCCCGGCAGCCATGGAACTTTGGATCCAGGACGTCTTGGGCACAGCAGCTTCCACCTTTATCTCAGAGCTTTCCTCCATGGTGTCCAGATCCTGTCCAGGGATGAGAGATGGGCATGAACCCTCCACACTCTGTGGCTTTCACACCGAGAAGTCACATTTGTGGTCCCTTGAGGACCAAGCTAAGATTTTTATTAGGTATTTTGTTAAACTGCTATTTAATCATTTCTCATTTCTGTAGGTTAGAATCTTTTGTTTTGTTTGACATATCACTCATTTGAATTGGCAGCTGTCATGAGGAACAATGGGATGTCATCTTCATACTCATTCTGTGGATGAGGATCCAGGCATGCAGACGTTCTTATAAAGGTTGGGGTCAAATGGCAGAATTAACATATTCAACCAGCTCTCTGTCTCTGTCTCTGTCTCTGTCTCTGTCTCTGTCTCTGTCTCTGTCTCTCTGTCTCTCTCTGTCTCTGTCTCTCTCTGTCTCTGTCTCTCTGTCTCTGTCTCTGTCTCTCTCTCTCTGTCTCTCTCTCTCTGTCTCTCTGTCTCTCTCTCTCTCTCTCTCTCTCTC